GCTGGTGGATTCAAACTGCCAACCTTTTGGTTAGCAGCCGAGCTGTGAACTGCTGCACCACCAGGAAGATGAGTCTAAATTTATTCCCTAAAGACATCCAGGCCTATGATTCCATAGGTTCAGTTTAAGGTCATTCTCAATTTAAGAATTGCCCCAGGACAATGGAACATTTCTCCCATTGCTTTGGGGACCTGGAAGACAGGTATACATACATATAAACTAAAGAAGTGAGAAAGGGGAAATTGATAACTACTATTAAAGGTATACTCAACCCTTATTAGCCATGTAGCTTTTTCCTGTAGAGACCAAGGTCATCCAGAAAGCCACCGATGACCCCTCCCCAGGTACTTGCTGATGTTCATTTGGGAAATATTAAGGTATTAACAATTGTCAAAGATGAAAAGGACCTCAAAAGAGCATGTAAATCAACTCTCTCTTGCATGGATATAGATACCAAACCTGTCAGATGTGGACCTGACTTGCCTTAGGTTACCCAGCTAAGTACTAATGGGTGACCTGGGATGATGGCTTTTTTCTTCTGTCCTCAACTAGTGCTCTTTCCACTACAGTCTGTTTTAACCTCTCCTAGGCTGTATAAAGGCATAAACAAGGACACATGAGGATTCAAGGCTCCTTGGAAGCCTACACACTAGTCTAGAGTTCACTCCAAGGAAATTCAAGTGCCAGGTGAAGGGCCGTCAGCGGCTACATGGACTCTCAAGGGCACAGGGATCCAAACGCCTTTCTATGACTGAGAAGAGGTCCTTTGTCACATAATCATAACACAATTTAAATTTATGAAAACATAATCCTAGTTCCTCATCAGATATCAATTAAATATCCATGAGAGAAAAGGAGTATTCAGAAGAACGGATGAGATTGACTAATTGAATACTAGTAAATTATGTGGAAAAAAACATAACCCAGATGTGATTTCAGAAAACAAAGTAACCTGATAGCTAAAAAGGGACCTTGGGTAAAAATGGACAACGAACAAAACCCTAGAATGGTTATTCTTTGGAGGGGCTTTAGTTTTATTTATTTATTTATGGGACGGCAACTACATTAATATGCAGTTAAAAAAAAAGATATTGTGGAGTAAAATGCAAAATCTACATGAATTTTCAGGGAAAAAAAGTAGACTTCAAAGACTTTTTTCAGTAAAGGTGAGCTGCTTTGGGTCATATTTTTAGATTCCCAGGGATGTGGTATTCACTTGCTACTTCTCTTAGGGGAATTTTGGTGGAGAAGTACTGTCTTTGTTAGGGGAACGATCTGCCTGTGTGCCTCCCATTCCTGGCCGTCTAATAGTAAAGGCCTTAGGCCCAGAACGTTCTCCGATAAGGAGGCTGGTAATTGAGTGACTCTCCCAGTTCCTTCTCCTTATTGGAGATGCCTTCCCCCTGTTCTGGGGACTCAATAACTTTCTCTGTCTCTTGCATATGCATGGGCACCATATGGCACCTGGCCAACCCCACTTCTATATCTGCTCCTGGCTGGGAGGGAACCAGGTCTCTCCAGTCTACTGCAGAAGAGAGGTGTACAAGAGGGTTGTATGCAGGGCATCGTCCTCCCTGCACCGGCCAGATGCAGGGGTGGGGAGGCATCCTGCTGGCTATGGGAGACCAGTGACCACTTGTGAAGCTGATCTCGCTCTGCCCCTTCTCAATGTGGGTAAAGCGTTTACCCATGCACTAGAAGAGTGCATGTGATCTGTGTCTTTGGTTGGCGACCTCAAACCCTGGTACGACAGTTCTAAATTCATTTGTTATTTCTTAAATATTCTTTATTCCATAAAGTCATCCTGAGTCTCTACTCTGTGCCAGGCACTTTGCAAGATGCCAAGAATGACAGGTATGAACGGGCTCTACCCTCTGCCCTGCTCATTGTCTTGGGAATTAGATCTTCCAGGTGAAGTAGAAGTGTAACTAGGTTTCAATATCAAGGCAAGGGAGCAAATAAACAAGGCTCCACTTTTTTACTACCTGGACATGTGTGAGTGTCTGCAAGAGAACCAGCTCTAGAGAACGTTCTTGGGGCAGCCACGTTTTTCTCTGCACACCTCCTCCAGGCCACCTCATCTAAGCCATTAAGGTGAAGTGTAACTCTAAATGCTTTCTCCCTTTTCCTCCCCAACGTCATGGCACACGCATGGTCTAAACAAAAGCCCAGGAACTAAAAGGAAAACACAAAGCCATTCCTGAGGGTCAGCATACCTTAACATGCAGGTGTAGTTGCCCGTGTCATTGAGGAGGGTGGGCCGGAACCACAGCACATCTTTCTCTTTAATAATTCGGTTCTCAGGGAGGCGGAAGTTAATTGGTTCCTCAAGGTCCCGATCCTGCCCCGTCCAATACCAGATCAGGGTGAGGCCAGCCGAATGGGCAGTGCTGTAGTTATACTTCAGGAAGTGCTCAAAGAGTGGGCACTTGATACGAGCTGGCTCATCTTCAAACACTTGGATTTGCCTCATGGTATCCAGTCCCCAGTCATCGCAGCGTTCTGGAACAGTCAAACAGAAAGACGGGGCGGATGAGTCACCTCACAGTTACAGGCCTCCAGAAAACACAACTTCTCCCCAGGATGCCAGTCTCTTCCAGGATCCCCCTTCTTTGATCACCTTCAGTGCCAAAAACCAAAAACCAAGCGTGAGTCGATTCTTACTCATGAAGACCCCATGGTGTTAGAGAGTGAAACTGCTCCATAGGGTTTTCTTGTCTGTACTCTTTAGAGAAGCAGATCGCGGGCCTTTCTTCCACAGCACCGCTGGAGTGGATGTGAATAGCCAACCTTTTGGTTAGTAGTCGATGGCAAACCACTTGCGTACCCATAGACCTCATCGTCAATTTTTGTTGTGTGCCCTCAAGTCTATTCTGACTTATAGTGACCCTGTATGACAGAGTAGAACAGCCTCCCTCTAATAATTGCATAGAACAGTCACCTGTGGTATGAGGAAATGATTCCCTCTCTTTCCTTTACTGTTTTTGAGTTATCACGTGGATGAAGATTTGATCTAACAGCTTGATCCTGTTGAATCCTACAAAGTATGGCGGAGGAGTCCACCGCAAAAGGAAGTCACGTGCATTTTCACCCCTCTGGGAACAGAGGAGGTTTGAAGGAGGAAATTGTAACAGAAAAGACAATTCTCAAGTAGATGGGAGAGAAGAATCCCAATGTTCCCTAGGTATCCTGGTTTTCATCCAGACTCCTGCTGTCCAACAGGAACATAATGTGAGCCACATATGTAATTTCAAATGTCCTAGTAACCACAGTAAAAAAGTAAAAGGCAGGCCAACTTAATTTCAATAATATGTTTTATTTCACTCAATA